TCAGTGTGAAACTGCTTGCCCGCATGAGGTGCGGAAAGACAGATTATACTGACAGTCTGCAGGAGTCCTGCAGTACACCCACGATCTGCTGATCGCTGGTGCAATGCCGTTCAGGCTCCTGAAAGAAAAAAAAAAATTTAAATTCACATTTTTTTTTACCTGCAAAAAAATGTGCATTTATTAATTTTTTTAAAAGGTGAACTTATCCTTCAAAAGAGTGGACACCAGAGCATGATTTGGCTGCTCAGCATGCGCTTGTACTGAGTACCCAAGTGCTTCCAGTGCGAGAGTAACCTGAAGGAATAATTTTTCTTCATTGGGGTCAGCGCCTCATTTACTCATTCAGCAGATGAGCTTCTGCGAGCATTAGGAAAGCCTGACACTCCCCTTTCTTGATGAGCACCCAATCGGTTCTCGTCCCATTGCAAGGTGTCTCCCCTCCCTGCTAGTCCCCGAGTGCGGTGACGGAGAAAGGCAGGGAGGTAAGTAGAAGATAAACAGCGCAATGTTAAAAATATTAAAAGTCGCCATAAAGCCCCTTTCGTTTTTGAAAGCCCCATTCTTAATAGCATCTCAGATTTAAATATGGCTTTGGTTAAAACTATTTTTTTTTCTATCGAGTAGATTATCATGAGGGACAAGTACATTGGAACCCCGATTTAGTACCTTGGACAAGTAGTTTTCCACACCTGTTTTTCTCTTGTTGATAACAGTATACAAGACAAATAAAGAGGCTGAATTTCCCTCATGGGAGCACATATAGCAATAAAAGCTTAAAAAGGTGTTCTAACCCCTCTCCATTTTCTCTAAAAAAAAAAAAAAAAAATTGTATTTACAGAATGTTGAATGTTGTGGTTCAGTAACCAGATTGGTTTTCCTTTGTGAATCTCTGATAAAATCAAGGATTTACCATCTGAAAAGACCAACTGTAAAGAAAGCTTGTTGCAGCTAGATTGCCTCACACTGGCCTGCATAGTACATTCTTCCTGTGCTTTATTTACTTGGACAAGGAGCCAGCACATGTGATGTCAAGCATATGGAGGAAAGACAGCATTTAGGGATCATGAGTACTAGAAACATTACAGAGGCCCGATTTTCCACTGAAGAGTGGGAAATCCAGATGTTTGTCTAACAGAAGCAGAACAGTCTACATCTAACAGATGCATGGGCAAATTCAGTCATAATGCAGCTTTAGTAAATGGGGACAAAGATTTGATGGGCATCTTACAGCAAACAATCGTCGAACCAATTACTGCTTGATACATATAAAGTACCTATCAGTCTTTTCATAATACAGCTTAAGCAACTTAAAAGGATAAGTTCACCTTTGGGAACATTGACGGCGCTATACAAGTACCTGAAATAAATAAACATTGAACATGTTCTCGCTCCTGCAGCTGCTTCCCAATCCCCTCACTCCCTGTGACAGCAGGCAAGGGATTTTCTTCCTGTACCTGCTGTCACTATTTGAAAAGAGCGTGGCCATGCAAGGCTCTGCCCACACGGCTGCATCATTTAATGAATGAATGAACTACAAGTACCGATAGCCTTTGCGGCTGTCACCTTGTAGTTTTCAATGAGCGCTTTAGGTAGATCATGGATGCTTCCTGCCTCCTGTGTGTAACTGCCTGCTCAGAAGTGTGTATTGGGAGAAAAACTCTAGCGTGTAGCCCCTTAAAACCACATCTGCCACATCCAAGAATTTTAGATGGTGTCTCATAGTAAACAAAGGCTAACAAAAGTTACCCCCATTTGGAAGACTTGGAATTCCAAAAATTTTTGGTGGAATGGTGGCTATAATTCAGTCTGAGCTTTGAGTTTGAGGGCGAAATTAATGAAAAATACTTTTCCTTGCCTTCAGCGAGGGGCAAGCTTTTCAAGACTGAGCCCATGGCTTCTTTGGCCAAGGAAGACAGGTACTCCTGTCATCTCTGGCATTCCTGATGAGACCCTAAGCAGTTTAAGTGCAGGTTCTGCAGTCCAGGGCCTTGCAGCTGCTTATCAATAGGGTGCTAAAAGGAAGGCGTATCCTGTGCTAGGATGGTAGATACTTTGTTAATGTGGGACACATTAAAAAGACCCCTTCAAATGGAAAAAGAGCTGTTAAGCACTTGGGGGAGGGGGGTAATGTGTGTCCAGTTTACACGAAGAGACTGAAAACAGTAGGTGCGCTAGGAAGAGCTTGGTGGTCTTAGGAGTTCTAAAAGGATCCCAGACTGGTGATAGTGCTGGTAGAGGAGACAGGCTTATCCTCTATATTCAAAGTGGTAAAAACCAAAACAATACAATAACAGCCAAAAGAGTCTCTGTGTTTGGTATGCTTCTCAGAAGCAGGTTCATCCATCAATAACTGGAGAGACTCAAAGTCTCAGTGGCTGATGACCCTGAGCCCATGGGCAGACCAGTTAGAGAATCTGCAAGGGAAGGTGCAGGAGCATGGATGGGGCCTCTGCAGTCATGAAACCTATTCACTATTTGGCCCATAAAGTCCTGCATGAATGCAGTGAAGTCCACACTGGATATAGCAAAGAGGCAGCGGTGCCTAAAATGCTAGAGAAGGCTACAAAGATGGCATAGGCTCTAGGAACAGGGTCAAGAAGATTTCAGGCTGGCAGGATACAAGAAAAGGCTTCATAGGGGCAGCAGCATGAAGGTGCTTCTTCAATGCAGAATGGCAGTAAAAAAAGCACGCATCAAACTCCACCCAATAGGTGGCAACGTCAGTGCTCAATCCCTTGAACCCTTCCATTGTAATTCAATGGCAGTAGGAAATTTACGAGGCACCCAAGAGTGCAAATAATGAGACTGTTCCTAATGCTCAGCCTGAACTGCCTACTCAGTGAAAATTCAGAGACAGGGCAAGAGCTGAGGCAATGCCAATGGATCTGTATAGTGCTACGTAATTAACTTTTACCTGTACCAAGTCTGGAAAGCAACACAAGCAGTGCCCAGTGCAAGCCGATCATATTCCAGGATATCCCTGCTATGTCCAGTCCAGTGGGGTCAGGGTACAGCACTCCAAAATCAAGGCCGATCCAGACAGCTGCCAAACAGTCAAGACCAAGCAACAACGCAGCGAAAGTATTTGGAAAAAACTACTAGCAAAAAATGGGTAACCTTTTCCCAGAAGAACTTTAGAAAATAAGTTGGACACTAGAAAAATCACAAAGACATGCAGCGAGCAGGAGTTACCCTTTCATAGTGACAGTCCAATCAGGCCTGCCTGTCAGTTTTTCAGGAGGACCCGATTGGACCATCCATAGCATTCTATGGAGCAGCAGGTGTCAGCAGACATGTGTCCATTGACACCCTCCAGCATCTGAGCCGATCCCGTATGCTAAAAACAGATGGATGGGGATCCGTTACTCATCCGTCTGGCGGATCTGATGATGGTCGGATGGAAACGAACAGGCGGTTCCTTTCCATCCGAACACACCATAGAAAACAGCAGGCTGTGTCTGTTCTGCATTAGTGCAGCAGACATAAACTTGTCATCTGCTTGCTCAGCGGCGATCAGCAGAGAGATTCCTTGCTGAGCAAGTGGATCCGCTAAAAGGGGCCTAAAAATACAGTATATAGGGTGTTTAAGAATTTCTATAATATGACGTGTGACTGTAGTAATGTGAAACTTCAGGGGACCATTTCTCTGCAACAGAAAATTTGAGCAGCATGGGCAGCAGGAAAAACAAGTATGTATACCATTCTTTTATGTATGTAGGTATGTGTTTAAATCAGTGTTTTTCAACCTTTTTTCCAGCCGGGGCACCCTTGAAAAGTATTTTCAAGTCCTGAGGCAACCCAGTATAAAGCTTGGTTCACATCACAGCGAATCGTGGAATGATTGAAAAATCATGCACGTTCCTAACATGCAGACAAACGCATTGTTCTTTAGCAGACATGCATGCAGGGGTGTCATTAATTCTTAATGTTAGCCCCATGCATTGGCAAACATGGTGAGTTTTCAGAGTGATTTAAAGGGTCAGGGAATTCTTTTCCTGTGTTTCTGTGGGACAACTCATTGAAAAGAATGTGCTGCCCTACAGACAGCCACACAGATGTGAACCAAGGGCTTGATCACATGTAAGGTTGGAGAGTGGTAAAAAACCACACACTTCAGCTGCATTTTTACCATTCCCAACTACTCCCCCTTTGTAGAGGCAGCTGCTGGGAGTGTACACAGGCTGTGGCTCCGACTGTAAATCTACCCCTAGGTGAATGGGGCTGTGCTGCAACCGTGCTGCAATGGTGTGGGGATGCTGCATTTAGGGGTTAAAACAGGCAGTGAGTAGGCAACATATTGCCTCTCCAGTGCCTGTCAAATGCCTCTGAAAAGTGATTTGAGCATAGATTGCTTTTCAGAGGAGTATTATATACAAGCCCTAAAAAAAAATCAGTTCTGATCATACAGGAACATGGGGGTCAGGATTAAAAATAATGTACATACATGAGCATATAAACACGCATGTACGTACACACACACATATATTTTTTTTTTTTTTTACACACACACACACCCCCTTTTAAAAATCGGCAGTACTGTACCTTTTTTCTTCCTGCCGGTAACTGCACTATAGGGGCGGCAGAGAGCAGAGCAAACACTCACAAGACAGCTCTCTATGGCTTTCACTTTCCTAGGTGTAATTACAGTCAGTGCCAATTTACAGTTTAGCTGGGGAACATGGAACTCGGTCTCACGTGACGGCTGCGGCACCCCAATTAAAGGCTGGTTTAGATTAAAAAAATATAATGTGATGCGGTTCCAAACAAATGGGCCAATGGTGGCATAAGGAGTTGTATATAAAATTACAGAACCAGACAAATAAGGAAGTTACGCTTAGGGATCCAATTCTAGATGCTAACCAAAACAATCAGATTCTAGATGTAATTTTTCTGATGATTATTAATAATAAACACCTGACTTCATTATTTTCTTACTCTAATTCAGTTCCAACCTGTGGCAGATAAGCAATTTTTAGAACCTGAAGTGGTCATCTGTTTACCTGCAACCAAAGTTTTTAAAAGCTGCATCTCCATTGTAATTGCAGTGTTTCCAAGAACATTTTCCAATATCTGCAGGGAAGCAGCATCCAAGGAGGCCAACAAGTCGGAGTTGTCTTCGGTGACTGTCTGTAGACAGTAAGCTGTCAATACAAAGCAAAATATTGTGCAATTTTTCCTTTTCAGATGAAGAAATTTAACTATAAAAAAATAAATAAATAAAATAAAAGGATGCTACCTGCAGAAATTGCTAGCTCCATGTTTGTTGGGAACTTGCTTAAGCACTGGATAACAATGTCTACACAATTTTCCTTATTAAAGACAGATAAGGCTTACTGTTGCTTTCACTATAGGGATACAAGAGTGAGAAAACAGTTACATCAAAAAGAACCATAAAAGAATATAATATTGCTTATCTTCAAGTAAATATGTTAACAATATTTATAGGCAGGCATTCCTAAAAACACTTCAAATGTATCTAAACATATATATATATATATATATATATATATATTTTTTTTTTTTTAATTTATTTTAAATAACAAAAATGTCATACTTATCTTTTGTGTGCAGTGATTTTGCACAGAGGAGCCCCAATCCTCCTCTTCTTGGGTCCCTCCGAGCTCCCCTGCTTGCAAAAGGAACTGAACAGGTTCCCCCATCCACACATTTGAGATTGAAAGGGTACTCCTCCCCTCCCCACTGATTCCTGCTTGGTTGATCAAAGCAAAGTCTTACAAGCCAGTTCATAAGATAGATCATGAACAGGAACGGCCATGGATCGAAACTATATGGACGGTACATGGATCGAAATTCGGATGGTTCCTGCTGAACTGACTGAATTTCAAACTATGCCAACTTAGGCCTATATGCAATACAAAGGAGCCTATATAAACCTCTTTCCCTCCCACACTTGCATTTCTTCAAATAGTTCAACGCCTGGGGGGGTGAGGAATGATCAGTGATCAGCTATATGTATTTAAAGAGAAGACATCCAAACAAAGATTATTCTTATTGTTCTCTATGAACTAATGCACACTGAATATGCCTGTTACAATTATTAATTAAGGACATTACAACAAAATGCACAAACTGGAAGAGTTCAAGCAGTAATATTCATACATTAGAGTGGCCAATTTTCAGGCAATTAGGCTGACAGTAGTTGTACAGTGTTAAGAGAGAAAAAAGGGAAGTACCACCTACGTGTATTATATTACACCATTTACATGTATTATATTACACCATTTATTAGCATGAGGTTAAAAAAAGTGAAGGTATCGCTCCACAAACATATCAGTATTGGCAGCTCATCCCCATCCTGGACAACCGCCGCCACAATCCAAAGCTGTAGATGGTTGTTGGGGCAAGGACACCCTTTGTACACGAGAAAGTCCTCCCCAACAAGCGTGGAATTTCATGGGCGGACATTACATTACTAGAGATAGGGAGACTGGGAAGATGACAGACTACATGCTCGAAGCCCACTGCTGCTTCTAGAGGCCTGTAGAAGGAGCAGTGGTTTCCAAGTGTGTAGCCCATCATCTTCCCGGCCTCCCTCGCCATGGTGATGTCACTTTCGCCCGTGCGTTTCATGCTGGTTGAGGAGGACTTCCTAGTGTGCACAGGGCGTCCTCGCCCCCAACACTACCATCTACAGCTTTTTACAGACTTTGGATTGATTTACTAAAGGCAAATAGGCTGCGCACATGGAAGTGCACTGAAAGTGCAGTTGCTCTAGATCTGGAGGGGACATGCAAAGAAAAAAAACAAAACAAAAAACATATAAAGAAACAGCACATGCAGTGTACAGTATATTTACCTTTAGTAAATCAACCCCATTCGGTTTTAGAAATTTTTGGAGTGTTGGACAATGGCTAGACACTGATTTTCTGTATGCCAGAATTCCTCCATCTAGTTAAGCATACAGTGTTACAGCTGAGCACAAAATACAGTATTTTCTGGTGTATAAGACTACTTTTTATACTTAAAAATATACCCCAAAAATTGGGGGTCGTCTTATACGCGGGGTATAAAATGTGAACCTTGAGTTTGTTTGGGTCAGGCTGGCTGGTTGTGTGGTAATACTGTACATACAGTATACTGTGCTGAGCCGAAGCTGCCTCAAAACAAATGTCCCTATGACAGATTAATCTGTCAGCCCGCTGGATGTGTGGTATATACAGTATACTGCGCTGAGCCAAGGGTTTTCAAAACGTACCGGTACGTCCCTACTGTAATCAGCCCGCTGGATGCGTGTATGTACGGTAGCTGCGGCTACATACAGTATACACTGGGCCAATCATGGCAAATGATGTATTCTACTAAAGAATACAAAGCCTGCCAGAGAGGTGGGCTGATGATGTCACAACCTCAGCCAATCCGAGCAGGCTTTGTACATTTAAAATATTTTTCAGGTAAATATGAAATATTTTAGTGACTTATCCTCCTGCATAAGTACTAATTGGGTCATGCAACGAGGATTAACAAATTAAGCTGACAGGGAGCCAAAATAAATACATAAAATCACTGGTTCCTAAAGGAAACTCCCTTGCTTTTTTCCCCCTCCACAAAAAGACAGAATGCTCAGTCCATACAGTGCATCTCTATAAGAAATAGAATTCCTAGGCTGCTGGTCATTTTATGTCAGCAATCCTTCTTTCCTAGCTATGGCTGCAGCATGAAAGTAAAAACTTCAACTTGACACAAAATCCCCCCAGACCCCAGCTGTCCTCTTTTTCCCCCAGTCTAGTCCCCAGCAGATCCTTACACACCTAAACAGTTGCTGCCTCCCTCACTGTCTGCAGTTCAGCTGCTAAATATCTAATGCAGGGCTGCTTGTGCAATAATGTCTTATAACCTTGAATGGCCATCCGTTTTGCAGCAGCAACAACCTGTTCAAGTCTAAAGAATGTTCATGTGCAGGCATTTTTTCTTTTCTTAAAGGTGAGCTTGTACTGTTAGGTACTGGGTTCAAGAAAAGGATCAAAAGAGGAAGAAATCTTCTCTAAGCAATCTGTGACTATAAAACTATACCTGCTCACAAATGCATAATACACTGTCTTGCAGAAACTGCTAGGATTAACCACTTCCCGTCCAGCCCATGTACATAAACAGCCGGAAGGGAGCAGTGCAGGAGCGGGTTTCCGTTCATAAACGGCGCCCGCATTTACAGCCTTGGAGCGCGAACACTGATTGCTGTATGGGACCTCTGTGTGAGGTCCCGATCATGTGATCACTGATTGGCCAATCAGTGATCACATGAATAGTAGTGAGCAAGATGTCACTTCTGACATCATTGCTTACTACTAGTGAAATCTGTGAATGATCACAGAGGTCACATGGTACAAGGCTATTTAGAACAGCCTTGTACCATGTGACAAGCTGGACCAATCACAGCTCTCACATTATTTCTTAATGGCTGCAAGAATTAATTTTTTTTTTGTAACAGTATTATAATACAGTACCATGAATTATTATATGGATTAAGGTAAATCCACATAGACAGTCAATGAAGGAAAACATCCATCATTTGCATAGTTTTAGCCTTTTCTGGGCCACACTTCAACTAAGAAGCTGAAACGATTTACCAAAGTTAATCAGTATGGAGCTATGCAGTGCCAAGGAATGGGGAACCATGTTGTTCTGCCAAAAACACTATCTGATTCTGTGAACAAGATTTGAGCCCCATTCTGTACATGTGAGGATGGGGCTTGAAGAGTGGATGCTGCCTCCTAAACCTTCTTTATTTTGACAATTCTTGTATTTTACATTATAGCAACTCTTTATTCACACAAGGGTACAACTGCTGGAATTAAATGGGAGAAAACAGCATTTCTGTCCTCCCCATAAAATCCTCTTCTTGGAGTCCATTGAGGGACATAAGTCCCATGCCTCCCATGATCATGCTTTCAGTACTGCTTTTAAGAAAACTGAAGAATGCTGGTAGTAGGAGGGGTAATTCCAGGCTGGCCCACATTTGTTGGCCAGTGTCAAATCCTCCAGGTGTGAAAGATTATGTCCCACAATGGACTACTAGAAAGCAATTTTAGAAGTACAAAAATTTTGTTGAGCATCCATTTAATTCTGAGACATGTAAACCTTTGTGTCACAGTGTAGGGGAGTGTGACCCATGTCTTTCAACTGACTCCAAAAGAGGATTTTACGGCGAGTACAAAAATTGTTTTTTCATTCTCATTAAATGAAGGACACAGGAAGTATTTCACCTTTCAGATGTCCAAAGGCATTCCAAGGGCTGGGCAAACACCTAACATACCCAACATGAACAAAGTTAAAACTGGGGGCTGGCGGCTGCTCAAGAGCCACCTGAAGGTCCATACACGTGAATCAGGCACCGGATGAGGCTGCAACCCCCATTTGGTAACAAGTATAAGGAAACAAGAACAAAGGGGTATATCTAACTAGAGGGTAATGTCTTGACAAAAAAGATAGAACTGTAGGTTATATGCATGGAAACTGGTCTACCTGATCTAAGCAGAAGGGTAAAACAAAAAAAAACAATCCTACCAGGATAAAACCAGAAAGTGGAATTTGGTGGCAACACAAGGAAAAACTCACAGCCTAAACTATGGTCAAAAAGGAGCTCCTTCAAAAGAGAAATGGCAAAGACAGAAGGATCTGAAATTGATATCCTACTGGAGGAAGAGCAAAGCCACTAAGTTAGAAAAAGGTCCTAGGCATCATCCCACCTGATCCCTTTAAACGTCCAAAAGAAATAGGGTTCCATGAATGGAATGGCTGTCAGGGCAGACATTTATCTCACTAAGGCCCCTTAAAGCGGAGCTCCACCCAAAAGGGGAGTTCCGCTTTAAGGACGACTACTCCTCCGCTCCCCATTAAGGATTGGCACCTTTGGGGGTGGGAGGGGAGCGGGTACATGAATTTGATAGGTACCCACTCCCACTTCCGGTCTGATCGCCTAGGCGATCGGAAGCGGAAGGTGTCCTCCCTCCCTCCCTGTAGTCTTTTGGGACAAATGACAGGTCCCAGAAAACTACAGGACCATTCACAAAGTGCAGGGCTACTTGCACATGCGCAGTGGGTACCTGGCTGGGAAGCTGCAAGCTATCACAGCCGGGTGCCCACAATGAAGATGCCGGCCTCCTGGAATACAAGACGGCCGGTGAAACAGGCTGCGGGGGACACACCACGGGACCGAGGGACAGGTAAGTGGCTGTTTTTTAAAAGTCAGCAGCTACAATTTTTGTAGCCGCTGACACATATTTTTTGACAGGGTGAGTGGAACTCTGTTTTAAGGTGACTTAGTACAGAATTACAGTGGTTCCTCATGGAGAGCCATGGGCAGATAACATGGAGTCAACATGTTTAAACAGAGTAAGCTACATGTACAAGCATTAGGCAAGGGATAGAAGGTTGAGCTCTTCACCAAAAATTAGCAAGAAAGAATGCAGACTTAATAAAGCTGAGGTTCAAGATCAACTCCCACCTATTTAAAAAGAAGTAAAACATCCTTGGGGAAAAGATCTAAGATAAAACCTTGCCGGAATATACGTATTACCCCTAAGCTTTGAAGAGCGTTGGAGTCTGTGGAGCAGAAAAGCCTTCCTCTCAAGGTTTGTGAAACAAACAGGAAAAAAAAAAAAAGAAAAAACAATCTGGATGTGTAGATCCCATGGATAATCACAGTCCAGGAAATGCAGTCCTCCCTGGCTTCCTGGGTCACCACACTTGTCATTATAGTTCCACCACACCTTCGCTGGCTGTAGGATAAAGAGAACACCTTTCATGTGGTTACCAGATCATTGTTATCCTTAAAGGGTCCATTCCATCCTGATGGAGGACACGATCTGTGTCCTGAGGAATTAACATAATGTGGTTGTACTACCTGTAATTTAAGCAGCCATACCCTCTGATGAGTGCAGTGTGTTTGGTGGCAGTTCACACAGTGGAATAGTATATCACTGGATCAGAATCCATATGAACACTTTATTTTGGTTGAAATTGCTTTGATTTTTATTTCTATTCGTACACATATTTATCCATATTTCGAAGATTCATTGCTCCATATATGGTTACTGTATTTAAAGAGACCGTGATCACAGTTTCATGGTAGGATTTCTTCCACTTAAAGGGATAGTGACTAAATCTTCTAAACCTGTATTGTACATTATGAATATTTACTTCTAGATGCATATTGGGTGATGTATATGGACTTATAACTGTTCACATATAAATTTGACTTTCCACATATTATTTCATTCACTGTGTTAGAGTGCTGCGCTGTGTTGATTTGTGCATTGTGAAGGTTATTTTTTATTGACCTTTTGTGCTAGCTGCTGTTTTTTTGACACCAAGCGCTGATCTTTGAGTTCTTTTTATCACCATGACATTGTTGAACTAGATTAATTCAGGTGACCTGCCAGGGGGATGTAGGAGGAACCACATTTTCTGGAACTCTAGGATGCAGACCAGATGAGAATTCGCCAATAACTGGAAATTCCAAAACCTAGAAATGGAAGACTGATTCAGTGGGCAAGAAACTACCGATTCTCAAAGGGAGACAATTGAGTCTGTTCAGATACTTTATAACCCCATCCTTACCCCCACATTGGTGGTCAGTGGCAGTATAATAAAAACCTCACAGCACTCTATCCGAGGACTGGACTTTACTTGCACTGTGGAGGAATATCACTCCACCTAACAGAAGAGTCTCTTTCTTTCAGTGCATAGCGCTGAACGCAGAGAACATTCCAGCACCTGGCATCCTGCTGCCACTCTGGTGCCCAATAGGTGGTGGGCTACATGTTGGGCACCACTGATTCAAAGCATCATTTTTTTTAGCACTACATGGCAGATAACATACAGTATTATTTATATCAAGTTTTACTTATGGATTCATTGTAGGATCTGCTTTTTTTTCAGGAAATATATTTGCTAGAGTGGATTAGAGTTGGAGTGCAGAGTTTGCTTTTATATAAATTCACTAATTGTATTTTTTTTTTAAACTGAAAACCACTAGAGGACCACTATTATCACTATTTCAACAAATACACATCCATGCATCTATAAATGTTTAACTTTTACTATTACCTTTGTAACAAATTGTTCCACATAAAAGGACAAAAATATATTTGGGGTGAGGCAGTGGGCACTCAAATATCATGAAAAGGAAACAATTTTTAATTATTTTAAATTCCCAAACGTTCTTTTTTTCTCTAGACTAGAAACATTCAGTGAGAAACTCTTTTAGAAAAACCTTTTACATTTCTATCATCTCTTAATATTATATGAACCCTGTACCATGGTTTATTTTCATTTTTAAAGCATCTCACACGTTTGCCTGCAATGACAAATAAATATTCACTACGTGTCAGAATAAAGATACAAACTTACCACATATTCCACAACACATTAATAGCCTGGTTCGCAATATCTTCAACATAGTTCTTTGGTAAGTCTTTGCCATTCATCGATGGCACCAAGCTGGAATCTAAACCAGTGGAACACTGTACAGAGAAAGAAATTACACAAGACAGAGAAGTTGTTTTTTTTTTTCCTTTTTTCATTGATGAATGATCCCTTAAAATACAACAGTCAAATAATGTATCTGTACTCTGGATAAAATCAATATTTACAAGAGAGCATCCTATCAATCCACTAAAAACTAAATCTATCACCGTGACTTCACTTGGTTAGTCATGCCCCATAGAGGATTTAACCAGGCCCATAGCTAATTTATGACATCATTGGTAATCTGATCATCTAATATAGTTTAATTAAACTATATCCCCCTAAAAGGAAAAATCATGTTAAAGCGGAGTTCCACTTACACTGTCAAAAAATAGTCAGCAGCTACAAAAACTGTAGCTGCTAACTTTTAAAAAACAGCCAGCTGTCTGGTGTTCCAGGCGCCAGCATCTTCAGCGTGGGCACCCGGCTGTAACAGCTTCCGGCTTCACAGCCGGGTGCCCACTGCGCACACGTGAGTAGCGCTGCGCTTCCTGAATGGTCCCGTAGTCTTCTGGGACCTGTCACGTGTCCCAAAAAACTATGGGGAGGAAGGATAACTTCTGCTTCAGATCGCCTAGGCCAGTGGTCGGCAAGCCGCGGCTCGCGAGCCACATGCGGCTCTTTACAAGCTTAAATGCGGCTCTTCTGTGTGCCGGGCGCCCGCTCCTCTCCCTCCCCTCCCTCCTCTCCCTCCCCTCCCTCCTCTCGGACGGGCGTGTGCCGGGCGGCCCGCCCCCTCACCTCCCCTCCCCTCCCTCCTCTCGGACGGCCGCCCGCTCCCCTCCCTCCTCTCGGGCGGCCGCCCCAAAAGTCAGGACTCTGCAGCTGTCAGGATGTAGGCGGGGCAGCCAGGATGTAGGCGGGGCAGCGTGACGAACTCCTCTCCTCTCACAGTCCGCCCTGAAGACCAGAACGGCGCGGGAAGCACGACGAGAGGAACGCGCGGAGCAAAGGTAAGTGAATTGACAGAGGGGGGACTTACTATATGGGGGACTTACTATATGGGGGATGAATTACTATATGGGGGGGGACTTACTATATGGGGGGGGGGGGGACTTACTATATGGGGGGGGGGGGGACTTACTATATGGGGGGGGGGACTTACTATATGGGAGATGAATTACTATATGGGGGATGAATTACTATATGGGGGATGAATTACTATATGGGGGATGAATTACTATATGGGGGATGAATTACTATATGGGGGATGAATTACTATATGGGGATGAATTACTATATGGGGGATGAATTACTATATGGGGGATGAATTACTATATGGGGGATGAATTACTATATGGGGGATGAATTGCTATGGGGGATGAATTGCTATGGGGGATGAATTGCTATATGGGGGATGAATTGCTATATGGGGGATGAATTACTATATGGGGGATGAATTACTATATGGGGGATGAATTACTATATGGGGGATGAATTACTATATGGGAGATGAATTACTATATGGGGGATGAATTACTATATGGGAGATGAATTACTATATGGGGGATGAATTACTATATGGGGGATGAATTACTATATGGGGGATGAATTACTATGGGGGATGAATTGCTATGGGGGATGAATTGCTATGGGGGATGAATTGCTATATGGGGGATGAATTACTATATGGGGGATGAATTACTATATGGGGAGATGAATTACTATATGGGAGATGTATTTTCAGTTTTAAAAATGTGGCTCTCAAAATAAATTTCAATCGTGGTTTTGGCGAGATTTGGCTCAGTTGAAAAAAAAGGTTGCCCACCACTGGCCTAGGCGATGGCAGTGGAAGTGGGAGTGGGTACCGGCTGCCCAAAGGTGCCAATCTTTAATGGGGAGCGAGGGACCAGTCTTTAAAGCGGAACGTCCCCTTTTGGTGGAGCTCCGCTTGAATGCACCATAAAACATATTTGCCTTTATAAACACTTTAATACAGGGACAAAATCCCACTGTTTAATTCAAGAAAACAGAAGTAAACATCAGATGTGGATTGCAAACATTTCAGAGGGGCAATCTGTGGCAGGTGTGGAGAATTGCCTTTCTGAAACATTGGCCATCCACCTCTGTAGGATAACCTTGCTAGGACATCAGATTTGTAAACTTGTTTCTGATCATCTACCCAATGCAGCAGCTGATACTGAATTCCTTCTGGAACTGCTAATTGCCTGTGCTGTGTTCTTCAAAACCTTTCAAATCACAAAACCATGAACAAGCAAGTCACCAATCATTACAAAACACGCAGATTAGGACAGTCTCAAGCCTTTATTTACATACTGTCTGAAGATATTCAGGTAGAAGCATCAGCCTCACATGGCTACTTGCATCTCTACAAGAGGGTCAACAATGTCATCCTTACTGTTTTTCCTTTGAATGGTTTATCTTTGAAGGAAAACCCATCCAAATCCTGCATAATTCATACCCACCTCATGAACCGTTTTTTCTGGTTATCTAAGAATATACCTAGTTCTGGTAGCTCTGGTGACACCCTGGGATTTCCTTACTTTGGAGGTATTTCTTCTCACTTCCTGTTATGGCTACTGGACAGGAAGTGAAGAGAAATCTCCTTAGTGGAAAAAAGATCGCAAAATAACCACAGGGGTTTAAAACAAAAGAAAAAAGGTTTTGCCTTTAGTTTTACTTTACTTTTACTGAAAATGTTGAGACTTGCATTTTACTTTAGCTGCTCTCTCTCTGGACCTACTGATCATTTTGATTAAAGTTTGCCAGTGATAACTTCAGCCTAAAGGGTTAGTTCACCTTTATCAAATTATATGTATTACAGCCTTGAGCTTACATTAAAATGCTGTCATCAATTTTTAAAAACGATTCTCACTTTTGAAGCTACTTCTAACACGGGCTTCCCATTGCTCCTCCACAAGCAAGCCCTGGGCTATGAGAACTCAGCTTGCCCAACCATGCGCATGCAGTCTGCACTCTCTTGCAGGAGCTGAGCTCAGGGCGCTGCGAAAAAGAGAGAGACTAAACATACATGGTTGAGCAAGCCAAGTTCTTGTTTGGGAGGTTCTGGGGCAATATTTACAATGGTTGGATGGAGAGGGGGAGCCCACAGTAGAAGCAGTTCAAAAGTAAGGATCATTTTTAAAATTCAGGACAGCATTTTATTGCACACCTAAAGCTGTAATGCATATGGCATCCTTTCAAAAACTGGATTTTTTTTTTTCTACATACTTAACTGCAAAATACATTTCTAGGCGTACATCACGGGACACAGAGCAGGCTATTCATGACTATGTGGGATGTTCCAAAGCAATAAAGAAATTTGAGGGGCGGGTAACACCATGATAGCCATCATCAATAATCCCTCAGGACCTACTCATCTGCCCGTAAAACACTGTGGCCAAAGACAAAATCCTCTGCAGGTCTGACACTACCCGGTAGAACCTTGTGAATGTGTGAACCGAAGACCATGTAGTGGCCTTGCAAACCTGAGCCACTGTTGCCTGATGGCAGATTGCCAAAGATGTCACACACTCCTGGAAGTGTGTGCCTTCACCTGAAAGGGTGGGACCGTAGCTTTCAAACCACAGGCTTGAATGATCAATTGGTGGATCCAAAGTGAAATAGTCACCTTGGATGCCACCTGCCCCTTCCTAGGCCCCTCTGGTAGCACGAACAGGGTATCTGACATCCTGACCTGGGCTGTCACCTTCATGAAGACCCTTACAGCACGTACCACATCCAAGGTAAGCAGAGATTTTTCTCTTGCTGAGGCCTAGGAAAGAATGAAGGCAGAACGATGTCCTGATTGAGATGAAAACTAGAAGCAACCTTTGGTAAAAAAAAAAAAAAAAAAAATCGGTTAAGGTCACAACACCACCTTATGATGTAAACCGGAAATGGTTCTCTGCAAGAGAAAGCTGCCAGCTCTAACGCGCTTGTTGCAGAAGTGATTGCCACTAGGAAAAAAACCTTATGAGTCAACAGGACCAGTGAAATCTCTTGAATAGGTTCAAATGGGGGTTTTTGCAAAACCTAGTTCAGGTCCCAAGGCCACAAAGGCAACCTGACAAGAGGAAAATACGCATTGCTCCCTGTAAAAGAGTGGGAACCAAAGAGTGAGACGCAATGGACCTCTGGAAAAAAAACAGCTGATGCTGAAACCTGGCCCTTAAATGGTACCAATAGCCAATTTCTTCTCCAGCCCTGTTTGAAAAAAAAACAAAATCCTGCCAATCACTTTGGTGGGTGCCATTACCGGAGCTCACACCAGGAAATGTAAGCCTTCCACGTTCTGTAATAAAGTTTTCTAGAGACTACCTTTCTAGCACCCAACATGATGGGATGACAGAATCCAATACTCCCCTATCCTTTAGGATCTGGGTTTCAATAGCCATGCCGTCAAATTTAGCGACCGTAAAGCTGGCTGCAATATAGGACCTTGAGACAGCAAGTCTGGCTGACATGACAGAGACCACGGCCTGTCTAATTACCTCTTCACTATGCCCGCGTATCAGGCCCTCCTGGGCCAGGCCGAAGCAATGAATATTACCGGAATAGTCTCCTCCCGAATCCTGCGTAAGAGATGTGGCAGCAACTGAATCGGAGGAAAGGCATAAATCATTGAAAACAGGTTCCAAGGACTCACTAAGGCAGCCACCCCTGTCGCGCGAGGGTCCCTTACCCTGGACACAAAAAACAGACGTTGTTGAACCTGGATCTACGTCTGGGCAATCCCATCGCTGGCAGATTCCCTCGAAAACCTCAGGATACAAAGCCCATCCCCCTGGAATTAACCGCCAGAAACTGAGATAATCCGCCTGCCAATTTTCCACCCCCAAAATGAACACTGCTGACAAACTTGGAACATTTCCCTCTGTCCAGGTCAGAAAGTAATTCAACTCCTCCAGAGGCCTTCGACTCCTGGTAACACCCTGGTGGTTGATGTATGCCACTGCTGTGGCATTGTCAGACTGAATCCTTAAAAGCCAACCCTGAAGCCTGGATGTCCAATACCTCAAGAGTCAGCCTCACTGCCCGAAGTTCCAGGAGACTGATGGGTAGAACCATTTCCTGTAGCACGTCCCCTGAACTGTGGACTCCTCCGGGACACCCCCCCCAACCTGAGAGGCATAGCATCGGTGGTTACCAATTTCCACACCACTGGCCAAAAGGATCTCCCTCTCTCCAAACTGTGAGTCATCAACCACCAATTCAGGCTTCGCAGTACTTCAAAAGACAGAGACATACGTAATCCAGGGCTGGAACCTTCTTGTTCCAAACAGTCAGAATGTTCCTTTTCAGCGGTGTGGAGTGGAATTGGGCATAGGAACAGCCTCAAAACGAGGACACCATTTTCCTCAGCAACCTCATAGAGAGGCAAATTGAAGGATACTTCTTGGCTTTAAAACTGCAAACCTCGTTCCCCAGAGCGCAACGTGTAAGGACCACATTTTGCTTCAGACCCACCAACGACTGACCTCTGAGCAACACATCGTCTAGATAACCCTATGACAGATACATCCCCCTGAGTTCTGAGTAGCCCCAACACTGGAGCAAGAACTTTTGTGAAAACTCTGGAAGCAGTGGCCAACACAAACAGTAGTGCTGTGAACTGCGGTTGCTAAGCCCCTACTGAACACCCCAGAAATCGTTGTTGAGGAATGAATATCAGCACATGTAGATATTCAGTGATGTCTATGGACGCTAAAAAATCTCCTTCCTGTAAAGAGGTCATTACTAACCGAAACGATTGCATATGAAAAGACCTGACATTTAGAAACCGATTTAGCCCCTTGAGGTCAAAAATGAGCCTTACATCCCCATTTGGCTGGGACTGTGAACAGGTTTGAAGAAAACCCCTGAAACCATTCATCCACTGGAACCTCCATGATCACCCAGAGACAATAGGCGATCGAGAGTCTATAATAAAGCTCTTCTCTGGATTCATTGGTACATTTGATTTTAGAAACCGGGGGGAGGGGGAAAGAATTGAAATTCTAGTCTGTACCCCAGAGAAATCATGGAAATGACTCACTTGTCTTGGATTAGAGCCCTCCAGGCAGAAATAAAATCCAAAAGCCTTCCCCCCCACCCGAAGGAGTGGGGGCGCCCCTTCATAAGGAGGCGTACTTTGGTTCTGCCTTGGATGACTTTTGCACCCAGGGCCTCCTCGGGTTTTGATTCCAAATTCTACTCTGGGAGGCTGGGACTTGTGTGCAGCGAAACCACTGCCGAGTAGATGAGGGGCCAGCAACCAAAGCCCCTGACATCTAAAAAGAAGGACGCTTGAATCTCCTTTTAAAGGGTAGAAGAGAACTCTTTCCAACTGAAATCTTTTGGATTTATCTATCCAAATCTTCCCCAAACAGCCACTCTCCATGAAAAGGAAAACCTGCCAATAATCGTTTGCATGGCAGTTCTGCGACAAACTCTTTAGGCACACAACCCTGCGCATGTGTACTGGATAAAGAGGGCCAAGGAAGAAATTTGCTGAATTGAATCCTTAGGAGCCTCATCCCCAAAACAAACTACATGGAACATCCTCCAAATCCTTGGCCTAGTATTACCCCTGCACCAATGGTCTTCCAAGCAGTCGTTTGACACGGTCAGAAAGACTCTGGCAAATGCCAATAGCAGCCAACACTGGCTGTGTGGCAGAGCCTGCCAGAGAGAAGGAGGCCTTAAGGAGGACTCCAGTTTCTTATCCGCTGGATCTTTGAAGAGCTGTACATTATCCACAGTACATGTGGAAGACTTATTCAGGGATGAAACAGCTGCATCCACTACAAGCATACCCCCATTTCTTAAACTTCTCTTCCATAGGGTACAAAAAAGAAAATCTCTTTGGTGGAAAAAAAACCCTGTCTGGGTGATCCCTGTCAGCATACATCATTTTCTCTCTGTGGAGCCCTCAGAGAGTCCAGAGAAAAATAAGTAATCTCATAGATTTCTGTCGGAATCTAGATCGTACCATATCAGTGAGGTCTTGGACTAATAACCTCTAAGATTAGGAGTCCGCCTGCTTCTCCTCAGGCTGTGACTCCTCAAATACTCTACTGCCTGACCTTTCCCCAGTTCTACCTCTCCTCAGGTTCCACCAATTCCTGCTGCAGGTTTGATGATTCTAGTGACGGGGTTCTCTCCCACTTCTTATTCTTGAGAAACTAATGCAATCATCCCTGCAATCTTATCCTCTAAACCAGCTAAGGCTGACCCAAGTACTCACGTGCCCCACTGAATAGCCAGTTCTATGTCCCGGCCACATGAATCCCTCAGAGGCACAGGGAAAAGGCCACATTTGCCCAGGCCTCCTTCCAACTTCCATTTCCAGACGCTAATGCACATGTGATCCTCGTGCACGCACACCACGCCGTTCACGCACCCGATGCCCGGTCGCACTCTTACCAAAATGTTCCCTCTAGTGGCCCCAAAAGAAACAACAGGCAAGCATGTCCCCGGGCTAAAATGTTGTGATCACTCCCCCTGGTGGAAACTTTGCCAAACAAGGAATCCCTCTTCTTTTCCCTCAGAGTTTGAGCTTTGTTGTTTTATTTTTTTCTTTACAGAGAGAGAAAAGAAAAAAGAGCTTACCAGTTCCGCCGCAGGTCCCTCACTTCCGCCAGGCACCAACTTTCAAGGGCCGGTCCCCATAATGTGGGGCCACAGCCTCGGACCTGTATAGCACCCCGCTGGAAAGCGCCTTGGCCAGATTTAAAACTGCACAGGGTGCAGGGTCCAGCTCCATAAAGCTGAATTACAGGCAAAAACCCAAGGGTTCTTCTCCTTATCCAGTGAGGCTCGGGTAACATCCATTTTGGTTCACAGCTTTCTGAATGGCTCCAATTCAAGTCCATGATTCTCAAGGGAACCATACCAGACCTTAGGTATGCTCCAGGAGCACAAGCAACACTTTCAGTGACCATCCACCTTACAGACACTGGCAAAAAAACTGAAATACTTCCTGTGTAGGAGGGGGTTATTTGGGGTGGACCTCCTCTATGATTGGTCGCCCAGTGTCCATTCATCTATAGGTGGCATATAACCCACAGTCATCAAAAGCCTGCTGTGTCCCATGATGTACGATAAAGAAATGTCATTAAAGGTGAACCAATCCTTAAAGCATTTTTTCATCAAATGCCAATTCAAGGAATAGCCTGTTTTAAAAGGTTTGGCTCTTCTACTGCACTCCCACTACCTAGTATTCTCCCTAACCCCAAGAACTGAAATTCTAAAGCACATCATTACATTAACCTTACATAAATATCTCCCACATCTAGAAAATAAAACAGATCTGTCTTTGTTAATTCAAAACAGAATTTTTTATCTGAAGGTTTGATCTTTTAACCACCAAACACTATGTGATCCAAAGGCCTCCACCTTTGAAACTCCAAGCCCAGCAACAAATCAAAGCTATGGAAAATTATCCATTAAGCCTGCAAGTGCAATTCTCAGTTACAAACCTCTCTTAAAAGAGCCACCAACGGGGTCATGATATCTCTGGTCACCATGTCATCACACACTTCAAATCCTCCGCATGTGCTTAGGTTCCTTTAGGAAACATAAACCAAAGAAACAAATGCAAAGTTACAACTTTCTTCAGCAAATCAAAGCAGTATTAACCCCAAAACCACAAAAGTCATACATCTGTTGATCTGGCCAGTAACAAACCTCCTGTATTAAAGCGCCTCCACTCTGGAGTAAGGAGCACAGGGGCACCAGTGGACAGCAGCACTGTCAGTCTTGTGTTGGAGGGGAGCGTTATATGTACTAACAGATTTGCAAAAAGTAACAAATTAAAGCTGAACTCCAGCGAATACATAATAATAAGTTACAGCAAGCAGTTTTTTTTCCCTTTTGGGATAAAAATTTTACATAAAAAATAAAAGATGTTCATTTTCAACACCCTTGCTAGTGTTAAATGGTCACTGCGAGAAAGCACTTCTGTTGAAAAACAACAGACCTACTGGCTGGATCACCAGATGAAAATAATGGCAAGAAAGCCTATAAACTGAAACAAATGCAGCCATCACATCTATGAAATGGTAAGCTGCACTATAATACATGTTGGCTTTTGGGTTTAATAAAGCTTTAAATATCAATTTCGACCACACTGCCCTCTTAGTAAAAGCTAGCAAGCCAATGTCCTTACCGTAGAGCACCAGCTGCTGTTTCACGCACAGCCATACACTTATCAAGTAGCAATGGTCCAAGACATCGAACGGCATCTTTCTGTAGAAAAGAAGGGATGACTTGCTTTTGCTGGACAAGCTTGGAGATGTTGGCACAAGCAAATTCTCTGACTTCTGGACAGGGGCTCTGCAACTGAAAGAAAACAGAGAAATCAGAACTCCCTGCAGGGTGGAAAATGACAACAAATATCAGAAAATGTGAACTTGAAGTGTAATTTCCTTTCCCATCCGTCCCCATTGTACTTACCTCCATGAGTGATGAGCTGTCAGTGCACACACAGCTAGTGCAGTGGTCTGAGAATCTGTATCCCCATTCTTCTCTCCATTCTTTCTGCAGTGATTTTGAGACAGATCAGAGAAATTCTGATTGGGCAATGCAGGTACAGAGAAACGCTCTAATCTGTTCCTGAAGTCTTTCAGAAAGAAGAGGAACAGAGGGGATTTCAAAACCGTGGACCACTACACTGGCTGCATGGGCACACAGCTCATCACCCAAAGAGGTAAGTAAGCGGGGCATATGTGACCTGGTGCAGGCAAATGCATTGCATTTACATCCTCCCTTTGGGGTGTCATTAACTTAAAATAGTTGTAAAGATTCAAGGTTTTTTACCTTCATGCATTCTATTTTCTGTGCAGCAGCCCCCCCCAATACTCACCTAAGCCCCCTCTCAAGCTAGCGATGTGCACTGGAGTCTCAGCTATCCCGGGACCCCCCCTCTTCTCATCGACTGAGACAGCAGTGGGAGCCATTGGCTCCCGTTGCTGTCAATCACAGCCAGTGGGCCAAGAGAGAGGGGGGGCAGGCCTGAACCAAGGCTCCATGGATGAATGGACACACCGAGCAGCAGCTTGGGAACATGCCTGCTCGGGTGTCCCCACAGCAAGCTGCTTGCTGTGGGGGCACTGGACAGGAGGGAGGGGACAGGAGTGCTGGAGGGGGACCCGAGAAGAGAAAGATCTGGGCTGCTCTGTGCAAAACCACTACACAGAGCAGGTGTATCACTTTGACACTGACACCTGCTACAGATCGCAACTGCAGTACGTTTTGAATGCAGTGCGGGACATGCGCACTAATGCTGTTCTGCCACAATGCATTGTGGTGTGAACCAGACCTATATGTACAGGTCATACACAGAGGAAGGAGGAAGTGAAGAGGCTAATGTACTGGTCACACACAGTGGCAGGATGGAGATGAAAGGGTTAATGTGAAGATGTGCAGAGTAAGGTGAAAGGGTTATTACACAGGTCACAAGGAGACACTAATTACATATACATATATATATATATATATATATATATATATATATATAATTACACATATATATATATATATAAGGGGAGGGGCATGAACAGTTTTATAAGGGCTCGTTCACACTTGACTATATTTTTAACTCTTGCCAAATGCCCCTATAGCATTTGACAAGCGTTAGACAGGCGTTTGTGAAGCGTTTTTTAACGCTCCTCAAACGCTCCCAAAAAGCCCAATGCGCGGTTTTGAGACTGTTGATAGGCGTTTGCCAAGCGTTTAAAACAGCACCACAAACGCCTATAATGAAGTTTGACCACTTGCCTACCGGGCACTTATACCCCCTTCTTTGCCAGACCAATTTTCAGCTTTCAGCGCTGTCGCACTTTGACAATTGCGCGCTCATGCAAAATTGTACCCATATGAAATTTTTATCATTTTTTTCGCACAAATAGAGCTTTCTTTTGGTGGTATTTAATCGCTGCTGGGCACTTTACTTTTTGCGCTATAAACAAAAAAATGCAAAACATTTAAAAAAAAAAAAAAGTTTCTTTGTTTCTATTATAAAATTTTTCAAACAGGTAATTTTTCTCCTTCACTGATGTGCGCTGATGAGGCAGCACTGATGGGCACTAATAGGCGGCACTGATAGGCAGCCCTAATGAGGCGGCACGGATAGGCAGGGCACTGCTGGACACTGACTGGCGCAACTGCTGGGCACTGACTGGCACAACTGCTGGGCTGCACTGGTGGGCACAGGTGGGTGGCACTGGTGGGCACAGGTGGGCGGAATTTGTGGGTGGCACTGCTGGGCACCAATCATCAGGGCACTGATCAGTGCTCTGATGATCGATGCCGATCCCTGCTCTGACAACTACCAGTTCTCTGCATTACTTTCCTCATGCTCTGACAGCGTGAGGAAAGTGCAGCCAAGAACCGGCAATTGCATTTCCTGGTGATCAGTGTGTCATTGGACACGGCTGATCACGTGGTAAAAGGCCACTGTGATTGGCCTTTTACCACAATCACGTAGGACACAGCGATCACGGAGATCGCTGGGGGCCCGCAGGAGAGTGCGTTCTGGGAGGACGTCATATGATGCCCTCCCAGAACTGGCCGGCCGCAGTGTAGCCATCATTCGGCTATCTGCGGTTGACAAGTAGTTAAATGGTATTAACTCTCTGCAAACACTTCACAACCGCGTCGCAAATGCCGGCCAGGCATTTGAGGAGCGGCACCATAGACTTGAATGGGAAGCTTCAACTCCTCCTGACTCGACCAGAGGCGTCAGTTTTGCTGCGTCGCTAACACGTCCGTGTGAACAGCACCCTGTGCTGCCATGTGCAGAATTTTCAGAGGCGTTTGAGAAGAGTTAAAAACGCTTTCCAACTGCCTGTCTGACACCTGCTGACAAAGCTAGTGTGAACGTAGCCTAAAGAGGACCCTGAGTCACTGAACAGAATGAATCAGCCGGCAGCTGCTGAGCTTTTTATTCTGTCTCTGTTTCCAGATACCCCATCCCTCTTCCTCCCCCAGTTGTAAGGGGAGGAGTCAACCCTGTAAATAGTACCATGTGATCTAGTGATGACCAATCACAGCCATGACATTACCCGAATCCTTGGATTGGTGGGTACGTTGTATCTGTGTGCCAAGCTGTAGAATGTAGAGTTGGGTGCACAGTGATTACAGGACGGAACACCTTATGGCTGGCTATTCAGTGTCATTTCGGATCAGCACTGGGTGAATAAAGGGCCACTAATCTGCTCAAAAACATACTCTGGAGAAAATGGGTTGAAGTATTATTAAAGGTATTTTTTGATGGAGTGGATGGGGATTAGAACCCCTGTCAGTTTTCACTGCCCCCCTAGAGATTCACCCTATTAGTCTTGTTTATGGTTTTTATTGAAAGTGAAAGCAAATCCAACATTTTGAGTGGTCTCTAAATCAATAACAGAGGGGAAGTCTTCCAGTGGGGTCACTAACTCCTGTGACAGCCAGGGATTCCTTCTTTGAGGGGATTTCCTCTGACTTCCTGTTTTGGCTTTGGGACAGGAAGTGATGGGAAATCTCTCCAAAGGGACACAAATATAAACAAACAGGTTTATCAGTCTCCCTTAATGTAAAATGACAAAGTGTTGCCCTCTCTTCTACTTTCATCTACCAGACTGCTCACACATTTCTACACATCTAGAACAATCAGCTGCCAATACCCGGTGAGCGCAGATCTTCGACCCTCCTATTTCCCTAGATCAGCCCACTCATTTTTTTTCTAAATCAAGCTTTATTTGCTAGTCTGCGATTTAACATCGATCACATGTGTAGTTGTTCCAAGTCTTCTACGTAGCGACCTGTACACCGTCCACAACATGTATGTAATCCTGCCTCGTACAGACACAGCTGCGGAGCCCCTGGACAATGGACCCCTCCGATCACACATGGACCCCGCACACGGCGGACATGTCACCCCGGAGGACGATCTATCCGGATCACTCACTTTATGTAGAAGATCCTCAGAGAGCATGGACTCCCCCTCCGCCTGATCCTCGGGCTCTGCCGATTGTTTGACAGCGGGAGTCGGAGCATAGCCCACCGGCTTAAACCTCCGAGCCCGGCTCTTCCCCATGTTCACTGCGAAAGGGCGGGGCCGACAACTTCATTCAACGTACAACGTCATGGCAGCCGACCACTTTTTTTTTTCCAAAGAACTTTATCAACAATTGTAAGAACATGCTACAGATGGAGGAGATCAGTGCAAGGATAGATCTGGGAACAGAATGCCGAAGTCCGAACACTTAGACCTTTATACATCGCATGTTATAATGACACATAATACCTGTATGACTACAAATCTCTGCACACCTCTTGTAATTGATGACATCTGGTACAGGAAGGGGGGGACGAGTGATGCGCCCCCCCCCCCTCCCGAACCATACCAGGCCACTTGCCCTCAACATGGGGGAGTGCTTTGGGGAAGGGGGGCTCCCCCCAAAGCACCTTGTCCTCATGTTGATGGGGACAAGGGTCTCTTCCCCACAACCCTGGGCTGTGGTTGTGGGGGTCTGCGGGCGGGGGGCTTATTGGAATCTGGAAGCCCCCTTTAACAAGCAGGCCCCCAGATCCCGGCCCCCCCCCCATGTGAATGAGTATGGGGTACATGGTACCACTACTCATTCATGAAAAACAAAAAGTGTAGTGTAAAAAGAGACAGGACATGGTCTTTGACAAGTCCTTTATTAAAAGAAAAATCTAAAAGAATGTCCCCCACAGTAGATCCAACGTCAATCACCGCCGACCCGAAAAAAGAAAGGGAAAAAAAAAAAAGGGTTTGGTTCCCAACAATGGCTCCCACCATTTGACTATTCCGGTGGTTTGACAGTTCTTAAATATGTAACAGGCGGGGCCACCTGGGGACATCATCTGAGTAACCCCGCATCACATGTGTGATGTCCCTGGTTGGCCCCACCCCTTACATATTTAAGAACTGTCAAATCACCAGAGCTGTCACGCAGCGGGAGCCATTGTCGGGAACTGAACTTTTTTTGTTTTTTCGGGTCGGCGGACATCGTGATTGAAGTTGGATCTACTGCGGGGGACATTCTTTGAGTTTTTTTCTTTTAATGAAGGACTTGTCAAAGACCGTGTCCTGTCTTTTTTCAAACTACACTATTTGTTTTGTTTTCTTGTGAATGAGTATGGGGTACCATGTATCCCATACTCATCCACAGAGGGGGGGGGCGGGATCTGGGGGTCTCCCCTTGTCCCGGCTTCCAGATTCTGATAAGGCCCTAGCCCGCTGACCCCCACAACCACAGCCAAGGGTTGTGGGGAAGAGGCCCTTGTCCTCATCAACATGGGGACAAGGTGCTTTGGGGGGAGCCCCCCTGCCCCAAAGCACCCCCCATGTTGTGGGCATGTGGCCTGATATGGTTCAGGAGGGGGGGCGCTCACTCGGATAAGGGTCTGGTAGCGATTATGGGGGGACCCCCATGCCATTTTTTTTTTTTAATTTTGGCGTGGGAGTTTTCCTTAAAATCCATACCAGACCCAAAGGGCTTGTTATGGATGGGAGGGGGGACCCCACGCCGTTTTTTTTTATTTATTATGGTGCTGGTTTTTAAATGTAATTATTGCTTTTTTTTTCTTTGCTATAACTTAGAAATTCAGCTGTCACTTTGCCCCAGCTAAAAGAGAATGTTTTCTTTTGAGTTTATTTACCCTAAAAGAAACAATGTTTACTTTTAGTTTCTTAAAAAGAAACAAAGTTTCCTGTAACTCCGGGAAAGTGACAGCTAATTCTGTGAGCTATAGTGAAGAGAAAAAAAGCTGGCATTTTCATTTAAAAATCAGCACCGACATACACTTTGTATTGTGAAAAAAAAATCATTAAATATTTGTAAACCGAGGCTTTTTTTTTTTTTTAGGCTTTTTTGAGTTTGGGCAAGGACACAGGGGCCCCATGATCCCCTATTGCCTGGGGGCCCCATGAGTTGTCAGTCCGCCCCTGTTCACACCACAGAAATGCAGGCTGGATGGGTGTCACAGCATAGTGGATAAGTGGTTAGCACTGCTGCCTCACAGCACTAGGGTTGTCGGTTTGAATCCGAACCACGGCAATGAAGTTGCGTGTTCTTCCTGGGCAGCTGCCCTAACATAGATGTGCTGGCAGCATCTCCTTCAATGATGTGCGCTAATGAGGCTGCAGTGATGGACACTGATAGGTGGCACTGATGGGCATTGACAGTCACAGTCATCACTGATGGGCACTGAAAGGCAGCACTCATATATGGCACTGTCAGGCAGCACTGATTGTTCTTTTGTGGAATTCCAGATCACATCTGGACATGGTAAGATCACTGTTCTTGACCGAGGAGCTGATACTCATTTGCAAAGTAAGTATGACCATTGCAACTATGTTTATAGCATGGGGGGGTGGGGTTTATGTGATAGTTTGATGCTTTATTTTGCTTAACAGGTAATGTGCAGCTTTTGGGGGGCTAGTAGCATGTCACTTAGCGCACATGTGCCTACACATGCTACTTCCTGTTTATCTGCACATTAGCTTGCGGGTATTGATGTGTCACCGATATTAACCATCCCAGCAGCTAGGCCTTCATGTTTAATCTTTGTATATGTGTACATGTATACTGCATACCATGCCTTAGTGTACAGTGTGTTAGGTACAATGCATTAGCGTGTACAGTGCATTAGTGTAAAATGTGTTGGAGTACAATGCGATGGTGTACAGTGCATTGTACACTAACGCATTATACACAAACACATTGTACACCAACGCATTGTAGTCTAATGCATTTTACACTAATGCACTGTACACTGTAAGGCCCTGTACACCCTAACGCATTTTACTGCTTTAGTGCAAAATGCGTTAGAGTTTACAGTGCATTAAAGTGTACAGTGCATTAGTGTAAAATGGGTTAGAGTGCACAATGCATTAGTGTGCAGTGCATTACTGTACATTGCGTTAGTGCACAATGCGTTAGTGTACAGTATGTTACGGTACATTGCGTTAGTGCATAATGCGTTAGTGTACAATGCGTTAGAGTGTACAGTGCATTAGTGTACAATGCGTTAGTGTGATATGCATTAGAGTGCACAATGCCTTAGAGTGTACAACGTGTTAGTGTACACTACTTTAATGTACATTGCGTTAGCGTCTACAGTGCGTTACTGTACATTGTGTTAGTGCACGATGCGTTAGTGCACGATGCGTTAGTTAGTGTACAATGCGTTTAGTGTACAATGCATTAGTGTACAGTGTGTAAAGTGTACAATGCGTTAATATACAATGCATTAGAGTGTAAAGTGCGTTAGTGTACAGTGGGTTAGTGTACAGTGCATTAGTGTACAATGCGTTAGTGCACAAGCGTTAGTGTGATATGCATTAGAGTGCACAATGCGTTAGAGTACAATGTGTTAGTGTACAGTGCATTAGTGTACAATGCGTTAGAGTGCATAATGCGTTAGTGTACAATGCATTAGAGTGTATAGTGCAATAGTGTACAATGCGTTAGTGCAGGTCTTGAAATTTCCACTCGCCTGCTTGCCAATGGCGAGTGGAAATTATGGTGGGGGCGAGTGTATCCCCCAGGGGCGTATTTGCCGCGAGGCAAAAAAGGCGTTTGCCTAGGGCGGCACTTTTTAGGGGGACTGCGCAGCGGCAACGCCGCACCCCTTTTTAATACGGAGGGGACAGTTAGTACAGGGGCGGGCTGCTGTGTCTTTCCTGGGTCCGCAACTCCGTGTCCCAGTCCCATGTCGATCCGGTCTACGAGGCGCTGCTGGAGGAGGGGTAGGGAGGTTGTCAGGGGGTCCAGTGTCTTCATATCTCTGGATCGCAATCTGTGGGCGGGATGACATGCTGCCCCTGTCATCTTACCACACCCCCGGGATCACTCAACAGCCTATGGCAGCTTGTCCCTCCCTCTGCAAGGTCTGCCTCCTCGCCGATGATTGGCCGCCAGAACTGTAGCTCAGGAAAGGCACACACGCGGCCAATCACCGGCGAGGAGCTTGGAGAGGAGGAGCCGAGCAGTAGCGTGAAGATCAAAGAAGCGAGGGAGCATCCGGCGCAAGTGAAGAGAGCGGCTGGAGAAGGAATACAGCTGACCGGTAAGTGGCTGTGCCGTGCAGACGGTGCTGCTGCAGCCAGGTATGCTGGCTGTAGATGGGAGAGGGAGGGAGCGAGCCCAGGCTGAAGCAGGGGTCAGCAATGTAAGTATCATTGGTGTCAGTGGGAGGAATAGTGCCCCATCTTTGGTGTCACTGATACCAATGATGGGGCACTATTCCTCCTACTAAAACCAATGATGGAGCACTATTTCCCCTCCACTGACACCAACGATGGGGCACTATTCCTCCCCCCACTGACACCAACGATGGGGCACTATTCCTCCCCCCACTCAACGATGGGGCAGTATTCTCTCCCCCCACTGACACCAACGATGGGGCAGTATTCCTCCCCCCACTGACACCAACGATGGGGCAGTATTCCTCCCCCCACTGACACCAATGATGGGACACTACCCCCCCCCCCCCCCCCACTGACATCAATGATGGGGCACTATTCCCCTCCCCCCACACACTGACACCAATGATGTACATGTGTCTGTGTATGTATGTACATGTATCTGTGCGTGTGTACATGTATCTGTGTGTATGCGTGTCTATATGTGCCTGTGTGTGTATACATGTGTCTGTAGGTGTGTGTGTACATGTGTCTCTGTGTGTATGTACATGTCTGTGTGTGTATACATGTGTCTCTGTGCGTCTGTGTACATGTGTCTCTGTGTGTGTATGTGTGTATGTACATGTCTGTGTGTACAGGTGTCTCTGTGTGTGTTTGTTGGTGGCGAGTAACTCTTAAGGCCTGGCTAGTAGCTCAGGACTTGATATTTCAAGCCCTGTGTTAGTGCACAATGCGTTTGGAAAAGTGATCTTAATAATTGTTCCAAAATAAAGTAATAAACATGTAAGACTTACCTGCTCTGCACAGCAGTTTGCCACAGAGCAGCTCAGATCCTTCATTTCATTGCTCCCCCGCCAGCATTCCTTGGTCCCTCTCTCCTGTCCAGTGCCCCCAGAACAAGAACCTTGTTCTGGTG